CGAGACGTTGGCAACATCATAGGTGACCAGGCCCCAGCCCATCCCTGACTGCCCTCTGACCCCACTGGCCACAGGCTTGTCCACCACGATGCTCTGCAGCTAACGGGCCCCTGGAGGTTCCCTCAGCACAGCTGTGAGCTGTTGGAGGTGCTCTGAGCTCAGTGCTCACCGGTGTCTCCACCTGACACAGGAGGGGCCTCCATGACCTGATATCACATGTGGACCCTACATGTGGGTTCAGCAGGATGGCTGAGTGGCCCTGGCCCTGGCGTCTAAGGGATGGGCTGGCACAAGAGATGGCCATGAGAGGATGGTGTGAGGGTGCATTTAAGGCAAAACCTACCAGGGCAAGAAGGAGAGGGAAGAGCACAGCAACACCGTATGTCCTGTGTAGGCCCCGTGGTGTGAGAGTGTGGGAGGCAGAGGACAGAGGGTGAGGATGGGGTGGTGTCTGCGGAGCTAAGGCACAACAGAGGTGGTGGGACCATGTCTCCCTTCAGCAGGTTCTCTGGATCCAGGTGGTTCTGGAGGGGAAGCGGGACAGGTGTTGGGACACATCCCCTGGGACCAGGTTCTGAGACCCACAGGGATATGGGCCCAGCAGGGCTTCCTGCCTCCATCTTGGGCACACGGAGAGGTGGGAGCTTCCAGGCTCAAGGAGGGGCAGCGTCTGCAGGGTCCAAACCTACACCTCCATGTGCAGCCATGACAGTGAGAGGCAAGCAGCTAATTGCCCCCAAAGGGTTCCTCCTGGGGCAGAGTGAGGGGCCGATCATACTCAGGTGAGGTTTGGCAACGGGACTCCATGTTCCCTGCTAAGCACTGCGTGGAGGGTGGGGGACCTTGCTCTCAGTGAGGGGACAGGAATCCCTACAAAGTTTTCCTTGTCAACCCAGAGAGCAACCATCAGGGAGCTAGTGACAGGAAGGACCCAGATGAGAAGTCGACCAGATCTGACACACAGCCACTTCCTGCTTTTTTCCTGCAGAGAATCTAATTAAAGACACAAAGAAGGAAGAGGAACTGCCCCAGGGACACTAGGAGGGAAGAAAGCATTGACCCCAATAGGAAGCCTGCACAACCCTCCAGGGACAGCCTCTGAGTTGGGACCCTGGGTTTGCTGGTTCTGCCCGCCCCCTGGTGTCCTGGATGCCACCTGCAGCCCAGCCTTGCTGTCTCCTCAGGGAGGTTAGTGTCCTGGCTCACACTGACTCCCTCTCACTGTGTATCTTGCACAGTAATACACCGCCGTGTCCTCGGCTCTCAGGCTGTTCATTTGCAGATACAGCGTGTTCTTGGCATTGTCTCTGGAGATGGTGATGTGGTCCTTCACAGAGTTGGTGTATTTTGAGCTACCACCACCACTATCAGCAGATACCCACTCCAGCCCCTTCCCTGGAGCCCAGCGGATCCAGTGCATGTTGTAGTCATCAAAGGTGAATCCAGAGGCTGCACAGGAGAGTCTCAGAGACCCCCCAGGCTGCACCAAGCCTCCCCCCGACTCCACCAGCTGCACCTCACACTGGACACCTGCAAACACAGAGACACAAGGTGGACTGAGAATCACATGGAAGCACCAACAGGCACAGGCACAGGTCTCAGCGCTCCCCACTCCTGAGAACGACCTTGAGAAATGATCAGGAGGAAAACGCAGCTTGGCACCAAGTCCATGGTGGAGCCGCTGGGGTCCTGTCTCAGGCGCTTGGGTTCTGGGTGTCTCCCCAACATGCTGGGCAGGGCCCCCTTTTATGAGCAGAAGGAGAGCCCCATTTGCATGGAGTCTGCATATAAGGTGCAGCTGGGACCCTGGGCTGCAGGCCTGACCTTGTCATCCTAGGGGCAACCCCAGATGGAAAGGGACTCAAGGATGTTGGCCACAAGGGGTCCCGTCCTGAACTCCTCCCTCCCTCCTTTCCTGTGATCCGTCACCCTGACCCCATTCCTTTGGGGGCAGCTTCCAGGATTGAGAGTCCTCCTTCCTTGGGGTTTTGATGAGGACCCAGGGGTGCTCCCCCAGAGGCACGTGGATGGGGCTTCCTCTCATTCTCCTTCACCTGCCGTCGGCCATGTTGCCTTTCTTGGTTTTGGGAATAAGAATTTGAATTGGCTGATGCTTTTATTTTGAGACTGAAAGATTCTCCTTGTTATTTTCCTCAGTCAGATCCTCCAGAAAACTGGAACCTCTACAGGTGAGGAGGCAGGAGAGGCTGGGCTGGACGCTGTGGCTGCAGCCTCTGTCTCAAACCTGCTGCCACTCTCACAAGAACACAGATGCCTCCTGATACCACACATTTCACTCAACTTCCCTGCTGTTTGTGTGCAAAAGCCCTGTTTTACTAGCCCCTCAAAGTGGGAGAATTTCCATCATTTACACACGGAGACCTGGCTGGTTGGCTCCGTGGTTGGAGCGTCATCCCCAATCCAAAGGTTGTGAACTCTTTAGAGTCACCACCACAATCATGTGGAGGCAGGACGTTTTTAATAATTGTGTGCACTTCCCTCTCCACACGGGAAGGAAACGTGTATGAACATATGTGGTAAATGAAGGAAAGACAACAGCTTGATGTACGAAATGTCCAAACATGAAGAAAGTGTTTATAAGATTTTATTGGAGCCAAACTGTCGACATCTGTTGGGCGGCAAGACTTCAAATGCTCCAGAGAATAATAATTTTCAGCTGCGTTTTTGCATTTGAAGTTAAGGAGGGAAGGGTAGTAATGACATGGAGGTGGGATAGAGCAAGGTGGGGACTGGATTCCAGGATAGTTAACAAGATTTGCTTGCTCTCTCTCTCTCTTTTTAAAAATCTTTATTGTTAAAAGTATTATATAGGCCTTCCGTTCCCCCCATAAACCCCATCCAGCTCCCCACATCCTCCATCCATGCCTGCACTACCCCATTGTCTGTGTCCATGGGTTAGGCATATATGCAGACAAGTTCATTGGTTGATCTCTTTTCACCCACCCTCCCCTGCCTCCCCTCTGAGGTTCCGGAGTCTGTTGATGCTTCCATGTCTCCGGGTTTATTTTTGTTCATCGGTTTATTTGGTCCATTAGCGATGCAGACTGGTGCAGCCATTATGGTAAACAATATGGATTTCTATTTAAAAATTAAAAATGGAGACAGACCCAGAACTTCCAAGAGAAGGCCCAAGGCCCCACAGCAGCTTGCATTGCTTCACAGCTGGGCCTCATTTGGGCACCTCCAAACCCCACACAAGGAAGGGG